GCTGAATGTGTGGGTCTTGGAGCCTGTTTTGCTGGAAGGTGCCCTTGCCCACTGTCCACTCTGGGAAGTTGTAGTCAGGTCACGTGCCATCTCCTGTGGTTTTATTTTGTCACCCAGACGTCAGGGCCAGCTTCACACAGGCTCTCGTGCTACAAAGGTCCCCAGGCTTGGTTTAAGGCTCCACTGTTGCCGTCTTGAAATTTTAATAAATTTATTTTTGTACTCGTGTTTTGTGAGTGGAGTCTGATGGGACTTGGAGCCTCAGTGATTTGAGATCCTGCTTCCCTGCCACCTCCCTGCCTCCTGGGCTGGGTTCTTGGCCACCTGTGCCCTGTCCCCTGGTGTCCTGGGTCCTGCCTGTCCTCTCCCTCCCCAGCCTTGTCCTGTGACTACGGCCACCTTCCATCCCCAGCGGGGGCCTGGGATAGGCGCGTGTCCCCAGCGTATGCGGGGTGGAGCCTGGCAGAGGCCATCCCTGTCCCAGGGCACGTCCATTCTAGAGGCTGCATTTTGGCCGGAGTGAGCCTGTCACCCACCCTCATCTGGTTTCCTAGCATATCCATGCACAGGCTACAGAGGCTTAGTGTGGAGACCAGCAGGGCGGGAAGGAGAGATACCTGAGTCAGTTTCCACAGAGCCTGCTCAGCTAGGACACAGTGTGTTGGTCCAGTGGCTGGCAGGAGGGGACCCCTGTAACTGCCACATCCATGTGTACCCCAAATTGCAGGGCAGGGCCTCTGGGTACCTCTAAGGGTCTGCACTCACCGTAGAGTGTCCCTACCCGCCCAAGGGAGCACCCCCTCAGCCACCCCCATGCCTGGGGCTTTCTCTGTCTCTGTCCAACTCTCCCAAGTCTGACTTGCCTCCTTCGGGTGCTTTCCCTGCCTTTGGAATGAGGAGCCCCAAGTTTTCATTTGCATACAGCCCTGCAAATTAGGCAGCTGGTCCTGCATGCGCACCTGCCCATGTGGGTGAAACTTCGGGAAGCCCAAGGATGCTTTCTGCGCCAGGAATGATCCCACATTCATCCCTCCCCTCACATCCGAACATGACAGAGATGCGGGGATTCTGAGTCTGAAAAACAGAGCTCCAAGCGTAACCACTGAAATGGATGAACACAGGGTTTCCTGTCTCCATTTTCCAGGTTACGAGACCCAAGGAGGCCTCCCCCAGCCTCAGTCTTCTCGTCCTCAGAAGGCTGTGCTGAACCGTCCGTGT